GTCACGCACCTCCACTCCTTCCTATCCTGAGCTAATCTTCGCATTTCCCTAAAATTAGAACATCCCACATCGCTAACTATTTGATAACAGTAATATCTAATCTAGGTCTACCTCTACTCCTCTTCACTACTGTTGAGAATTATAAAAAACAGTCTTGATCTTATCAATGTGCCAAAGCAGAAAAATCACTCCTAAAACAACATCTCTCCAGCTAATACGATTGGGGAAGTACCAAGTATGTCGGGGATTTTAGAGTAATAGAGTGGAGGCCCATTTGTTTCTATAAGTGAATTTGTTTATCTACAGCATGCGTTACTATTGATACCACTATCGATTATATAGTATAATACTCCAATTGTATAAATTTAGTAAAAATGATTGTGTATTATTGAATGGTTTTTGGTAAGGTAAGGAAACTACGACTGAATGCAGTTAATTTAAGTCCGTTTCCCCGTGTATTGCAGTAGTAAACTAACTTGGTGTCATTGTCTAACACGAACGGGAATTAATCGTAACAATATTTGCATTTTTGTTGCTATATATCAACCGCTTGTTTATAATTAGGTGACAATTTAATTTCACCTCTCCTACGTCATTGTGACACTAAATTTCGAAAAATATTCATCATCTCCATATGTATGAGATCATTTATAAGGGTAATTTTCGACTACGTACATGTTAACTGATTGCGAGTGGGTGTAATTCCTGCTTCGTTTCCATATAAGAAAATCCCGAGTAATGTCTACATTAAACGGACTTTTTCGTAATAAAAGTCTACACTTTCTTGTAATAATTATTTTCTGAACAGTGTGTGTTATGCGAGGGAGGAAAGGGGGAAATCCACTCGGGCCTGAGTTTTTTGAGACGGTCCAAAATTCAAAGCTTCAAGTAATTTTTTATCATCAAAATATTTCGAGTGGGAAATAATTTGGCGTGCCCCTATTTTACAGAATTTTCTCTTGACGTCCCTGTGTATTAGTTGCCTAATAGAAAATAAATTCAATACCTGATGGATGAATTCAAAATACCTTAATTAAAACTGGAAACTCATGTCAAATTCTGTACTCATTTGAACAATAAATTTAATTCACGTTATTCGTCTGTTATCTTCAGAAGCAGCTGTCAGCTTTAACAGTTTCTCAGGTATATCACAGCCTGATAGTGTACGTATGTATGAATGTATTTTATGTATCATTTGCACGGGATTTTTTTAATTATTTATTTTAATGCAACACTACAGTTTGTTGCAAAAGGCCCAGTTGTTATTAGAAAGTTGTAAAAATTTTCTAGAGCGTGCACATGACATGCACGCATCACGTTTGTCAATTTATTTGAAATGAATTTTAAATTTAATGAATAATTAAAATCCAGAGAGACTGCAATTCTTAAATAACAAAAAGTCTGCAGTCATCCAGGCGAGGATAAAAATGCATGAATTACTTGCTCATATAGATTAAATTAAATTTAATTCAATAATATGGAACTTACCTATGCATATTATAAAGGAATTTATGTTTTTGTTTACTGCACAGTAATTACACTCAGGGCCGTAGCTAAACTATGATTACTACTAGATATTTAGAATTCCGATATTTCTAATACTGTTATACGTAAATTGATAAATATACGGTAATATAAGTAAATTTTGAATAATTATAAAATTATTATGTGTATTTCGATGTCCATATATTTTTTTTTTGTGGGTATCTAAAAGTTTGACTGTTTCTGATGTATAATAATAGAGGATTCCCCGAAACTCTTTAGTGTCAGACAAGAGAAGTAAAATTGGGTGGCATACCTGTCATCCGAGAATATTTATTTAAATTTGAATCTGTGAAGTGGCAGTTTCACAAGTCCGTAATCACATGGATGAACAAAGACAAATCTTCTGCATAATGTCATTCAGTCAACTATATAATTCATGGTGATGTTGTAAGGCTTCAAGAGATCGGTGTTTGTGCTGTTGTGAATGAAAGCGCTCTTTGTGCATACAACGCGGACTTGACTGGCGACACTCGCAGGCAACGTTGAGTAATACAATACTAAAAGTGCCTCGAAAAAGTTGTATAAGACAGGAGACAGTTATGACAATGACAATCATATTTTCTTGTTGGGAACCTCTGAACAATACCAAACGTGCCACTAGTTAAATGTATACACTATACGAGAAATAATGCACTGCTGTTGAAAAATGAACTTGTTAAATCACAGCCCATTAAATATATTGGAGTAGGTGTATTTGTTTCCATGCATTTACTAGTAATACTTTTCTTTTATTACAAATGCAGTCAATAGTTTATGAGATGGTCCTTCGAGCCGAACAATTCGAAGCGATAAAACTTAAAATGGTTTTATCAAAAACAGGCGGAACTACTGAACAGAAGCGAGAAGTAGAATAATAGAGAACTATACGTTTGATTGCATTGACCTTTATATATAATATAATGTTATAATCAGTCTGTCCTAATTGTCACTGTCTTATTGGGATGCTTTATTTTGTGCGTGCACATATATTGTTGATTGAAATTAGGCGGGAGTGTTGAACAAAAGCGAAAAGTTGGTTCAATCAATCGCCAATTTAAGCGTAACGGCGTTAGCTGAAAGCGGTTATGGGAGAAAAGTGGGCTAACAAGACACTAGCAACCCTCTGGACGTGTTGGCGCTGGCTAAGAACCCTGTCATGTATTTAATGTGACACAAGGTGGTACAAAATAATTGGCTTTTTCGAAGCGACACTTGACAAGAGAGCTTGGCACAATAGACTTAATTAAGAATAGGCGACACGAATCGATTATCGATTGTTAATTCACTAGCATCACAAAAAGTCTTTGACCTTACCATTTCGAAACACCGAAGGTATGTGTATGGAAATAAAAAGAATTTGTTCGAAGAAATTACAGTAGTTGGGAGATGCAAAAAATTAATAGTAAACGGAATTGAATATAGGCTACGCTATGCTGTTGACAATAACAACTACAACTAACTAACTGACTGGTAAGTAGTAAATGGAAAAATTAGAATATTATACGCATATGTATGCGCCAATTTAATGGTACAGTAATTTTTCTGTATTCTGTAGCCGCTAAACAATGTTTGTTGTATACAATCAAGGTTTAATGAGAAATACGCAATATAATAAGTAAATTTAATCCTATACCTACAAAAAACACCGTATGAAGTATGTGTAATAGTGTTATCTACAGTTATCAAAAAATATATTGAAATACAATACAGGTCCCGTCCTAGCAAAAGCTCGCAACTCCTCTATAGATCCGATGGTACTCAAATTGATATTTGATTTTTATACATCAAAGTCAGTCCAGTAACAAATTCAATACATATATATACATGTGTACCTATATCACAGGTCGTTCATGAAAAGTGAAAACTGCAATAATGTCGTGTTTCATGTACCGACAAAAATAAAGTGTGATTGTTAGCTAAAACCAGAACCGATTTAGAAACAAACTTCTTGTGTTTATTTCGGTAACCTCGCGTTTAAACTAATCAAAAGTTTCCATAAATGTTTGCAGTAGTTTCCAGTTGCATTTGATTACATTACGGTTTACTTATTCCAACTTCTTTTGAAACCGTTTAACAGAACATCCAATTTATTTAAAGAAAACATAATACAAATACATACGTAACATTATTGAGAAGTTTGTTGTGAGTTACGTTCGCCGTAATTAACTACATTCAAAACGATATAACTTATTACAATGATGTGCTAAATATGCCAACGGGCAAAAATGTTTCAGCGGTCGGTTTGTTTTTAATAATCAGCTAACTATTAAAACTTTTAACTAAATAAAAGAATAATTTTGCAATAGATATTGTAACTGCTACCGTTTTTGTAAAAAAAGAACTATTAGGGGAAGATTAATTTACATTTAGAAGAAATAGAGGAACGGGGAAGACTATTCTAACTTTAACAATAGAGAAAAAGATAAAGAAAAGAAACAGTGCATACATAGGATTTGTAAATTTAGAAAAATCGTTTGACAATGTTAAAGGGGAGAAGATGTTAAATATACTTCAAAATGTAGCATGCTTAAATTTGCAGATTATAGAGCAGTATTAGCATCTAGCAAGGAGTTAGAGAAAAAAAATGAGGATATCGTGGATAGAGAAGGTTAGAAATGAAGAGATATTAGAAAGAATAGGAGAACAGAGGACTCTATGAAAGTTAATAAAAAATAGACAAGATAGGTTAGTAGGACACCTTCTCAGGTATGAAGGTCTAATTAGAGACATGTTAGAGGCAGAAACGGAAGTTAGGAAGGGTAGAGGTAGACCTAGCTTAGATTACTATTCGCAAATAATTAAGAATGTGGGTTGTTCTAGTTTTAGGGAAATGCGAAGATTAGTTCACGATAGGAAAAAGTGGAGCTGCGTGTCCAACCAGTCTTAGGACTGACGACCTTATGATGATGACCGTTTTTGTTTAAAAACAGTAATCGTATTAGAAGTCGTCCTTATGTGTGTGTATCGTGGCAACGCTGTATTTGGGTGTATTTTTTTTTTTATATTTAGCCGATGGGTAGCAGACGTTTCCCGTTGTCTGCACGCCGTTTTGGTGGGTTGACGAGTGAACAAGCAAAAAGAAACAGGGCATGCGAATGTGCAGGTAGGCAGGGCGATAGCGTGATAAAGGGTGACACGTAAGAGCCTGGATTTCTTGAAGGGAAATTGCTAGTTGTCGCGTTCAACAGCACGCACGTGAAAAAATCATCGGAGACGGACGGACAGACAGACAGACAGACGGATGGCCAACCGTATATATAGATATACATATAGACAAGTATATAAGATGAAATCGACGCCGGACGACGTGGACGCCAGCGACGCCGCGACGAAACAAAGACCAAATAACCCCCTTAATGGAATTTTTTATAACCAATAATAGCACGTGCACTTGATAAACCGTACATAAATAATGACGTGCTCTCGTACACAGGGCGACCAAACAATAAAAAAAAAAAAAAATTGTAGTGACTTACAGAACATATGGTTGGTAACTGAAATCCCCTGTTATTCTCTGAAGTGTTTTGCTGTTCTTCCCTCTCCGAATGCAATGGGTGCTCCAAATGTCTTGCGGGGGATGCTGAATTGGCAGTGCTAGTCAGTGGATTACTTAGTTTTGGAGAGGTCGAATTAACTCGGGCAGATGACGTGCAATTCGGCAATGTTTGATTAGTTTTTGGAATGCTCATCATAGGAGAACATTCTGGCCTAAATATCCAAGACGCAACAGAGGCCCACTGAAAAGAAGAAACAAAGTCTTACTTAATTATTTATTATCTATTATGTGGATTAAATATTAATTCAAATGATTTGGTCCTTCGAGCCGGATACAAGAAAAATTCACTATTCGATTAGGTTTTTCTTTCGTGAGGATAGTTACCTACACTAGTTAGTTCATTTAAGTTACTATAGTATGGTATAATCAGTAATTCTACAAGGTCAAAAAATTCCAGATACGTTCCTTCCTAAAAAGTCACCACAAAGTACCTACCTAGTTTAATTTACTTTCAATTATCACGTCTGTGTCGCACAGTTGCAATCACTTCACATATGTATAACAATTTATTGTCCTGACCCGGTCATTCTTTGAAATCCTTAATTAAAAATACCTACAACATGCCAATTATTCAGCAGTGAGGTAAGTTTATGACTGCTGGCAAATCACTCCTTTATTAATCGAAACTAAATATTTTGGTTTCAATTGAAAATAAAAAGATACCTTGCCCCGTGTAGCTAAAAATTAATTCATTTAATTAATTAAAAGTTCGTTTGTCTGTTGGGTTGAGATGAATACGAATATTTTTTCCGTTGTCAGTTGACGGAAGGTTTTTCAAATTATATATATATATATATATATACGGTCTGAGCTACTCGTATGTGGATAGAATATACGGAAAAAGGACATATTAATTAAATTATACACTTTTCCAGGCAGCACTTTACGGTAGGGTTACACGATCCTGTCCGGACAGTAATTTGAAGGACTAAAAGTAAAGAGCCAACGGCGATTTTATTCGTATATGATCATCAGCGTCTATCAAAACGTTGTACAAATACGAAATTATAACAGCAAAGTTCATAATTTGAAAAGAATAAGTACCTACAATCATTTCTTTGCATCTGTACCACTAAACGTGTTAGAAATTGAATTAATAAGGACAATTGTCGGTTTGAGGAGAGCAATGTAATTTCATTGCCAACAAAGTTTTAATGAAAAGTATCCTTTTAAATGTAATTGAAGGAGAGATCCTTCAGTTGAGTGTTTTAGTGCAAACTGCATAAATGTCCATACGTAGACACGTGAATCTGTGTGTGGGGTTAAGATAGGGAGAGAAAAAAGGGGCAAATGGCAGTATGGTGTGAGAGAGAGAGAGAGAGAGAGGCGAGCTGATAGGAAATGCAAACCGCGGAACCCAATCTAGTTGAGAGCCGCAATTTGTTTTTAAAACGTCGTCCTGATACCAGCACACGCAGCATTTCCGCCAAACTCGTGGCACATAAATCTGAAACAGGTTTTTCTCACACTGTTTTACTTTGCAAATAACCTCAAATATTGCGGCACTCTTTTACGCTTTCCCATCAACTGGACTCCATGTACCAATTTTACCACATTGACTCCGGTCAATTTATATCCAACTACTTTTCATGATGAAAAATTAGCGCCGCCAGTTCAACTTCTTCACGATCCGCGTCGCACCCTGCAAATTGTCCGCAATCAATGGAAAATTCAATCGCAACTCGACCACCGCTTTTCTTTACAATTTATTAACCCTCTGGTACATATTTCAAAGAACAGAAATCACTCTAATGAAATGAGTAGTGTGTCAACGGTTCCATGGTTTCTCCATCAGGTTGCGACCAGGGACGGATCTTGAATTTGTGGGGCCCTGGGCTAATACTGCTTATTACCCAACCAATTGCCATTTTGTCAAAAAACAGTTTTCTGTAGTGATGTAGATATATATAATATATGTTAAGTACAGGAAGAAAATAGGACAACAAAATATTTTATTTATTTATTAAAACATTATTTATTGCAAAATAAATTGACAGGCTATGAATGGTCATGTTATATAAATTATAAAGTAACCTTTCTGCATTTTTGTGCTGCAAATTCCTTTATTTGGTCATCGCACTGTAAGTCCTTTGTTAAATCGCAATTTATGAAAAGAACTGTTAAATGATTTAGTCGATAGTTCAACATTGTTGTCCTGTATTTGTATTCTATATACGACATCCTGGAGAAAGAGCGCTCCGCTTCACAGCTAGTGATCGGCAACGTTAACAAAATCTTTAAGATGGTATAGCAGTTTGGGAAAACATCAACAAATTTCTTGTCATAAATTACCCAAAAAAATTCACCGCAAGAGGTGTAAGACTCTGTCTTAGACTGCAGTAAGTAAAATTTTAACTGAATGCACTCATTCACTAAATGTAACTAACAAAATTGCGTCGGGCGATAAGCGGAGGGAAGTCCCCAGTAATAGACAATACACGGAATACACCGACCGAAAACAAGCGACGGGGAATTCCCCGTTCCGTTTGATAGATGCGCACACGGGTTGATTGATCGCAGTGTTGTCAATCTTATGATCGGATTTTTTTTAATTCTAGATATTTTTTATTATTGACAATATCGTCTATCGTTTTCAGTTCAGGTTAGGGGCCCTCTGTATCCACGGGGCCCTGGGCTGCAGCCCAAAAAGCCTTTAAGCAGATCCGCCCCTGGTTGCGACAAAGTTGACCAATATTAACTTGGATATTATGACTAATTACTGACCGATTTTGATGATTGAGAAGTTTTAACTAACTAAACAATCTTCGTTCAACGAATATAATTGAGTAATTTTCCATTCACCTGTACAAGTTAAGTTTGGCACCAACAATTATATTTTAATAAATGACGCACCTATATCTTGCGGAGCCCGTTAAACGGCTGAAAATGGTTGTTGGAAGAGATCAAAATATAAAACGCAAACTTCTAGTTAGTAGCGTCCAACAACAGACTGGCTGGTCAAGTGTATGTTCAATTACCTATACGCAACTGTAAATAGACAAATAAGTGGCGTATGTTGGAACAATAGACACATGAATCCTAATGGATTTAGAGGATGGGTCGCCGCCGTTTTGCCGCACAAAAAGCGGTCAAATTGTGTACGTTTTATATATCTCGTTGCCAGCCGAAAAGGAATACTGAAACGACGGTGTTTTTGTTCTTTTGTTGTTGGTCAACAATTAAAATAACTTCAAACAATCGCATGCATCGACAAACCGTTTTTGGTTCTTAAGCGCCGCGGTATAATTGAAAAAATCAATAAAGACACAGGCCCAAAGTAGAAGCCATTTAAGAAGGCGCCGCTAATAAAAATTGCATTGCATCTAAACAACAAACTAATTAACAAAATCGAACAACTATTCTGCAATCACAATCAACATAAAAATGGACATTCAAATACATATATCGTATGTTTTTCACTTAATTACCTAGAACAATTTTTCCATTTACCTTCCTTCGTGCTAACTGAAATCTCAGAAAATAGATCAAAAATTAAACATCTTACTTTCTTTACTACGTCTTACCTACAATACACAAACTTTTTGTTTAACTAGTTAACTTATTCCAGCAAATGATTTAATGCATCTGTCAGACATCATCATCAAAAGCAAAAACTGCAGTACAAGTTGTTTAACTTCGACTAATATAGACTATTATTTAGAATTAATTTAGAAGTCTTTAGTTCTTTAACAGTAATAAGATATATGCGGTTTAATAGTTTTTAAGGCACCTTCTAATTGAACTTTTATGTTAAATCCGTACCTACTCGAAAATTTAACACACTAAAATCCAAGAAGTAAGATTCGTTAACCAGCTGTGGGGCAATTACCAAAGCACATTTTAGGCGCCATAAAAAACAAAATTAAAACAAGTTCAACGAATCTTCACATACATTTTCGACCTATACATGGTGATCTCTATTAACACTACAAAACTTTAATTGGGTAATAAGTACTGTAAACAAATACAAATATTTTATAATGCAGGTGTGTGTCCATCCAATGAATTCTGTTCTCTTGGCATTAGTCATTTTTTGTAAAACTTAAATAGAGGTTTAACATTCCTATTGTGAATGTAAACTGGATTTTGTTCTCTTAATTTCTTCTGAATAATTTTTTACAAAATTTATTGCTTCATGCTTGATTGACAGTCGCGAAATAAGAATCTTTTAGTAGATCGTATAAAATATAAAATTTACGTTAAGTATCTTGAAATGCTTGATAAAACTTACTGGGATCATTATTATTTAGTCCATATTTTCATCAACCAGCTGTGAAAAATTTACACATTTTTATCAATTTTTATTTTCAATGTAAATAAACAACACCTGCCCATTGGTATATTTGAGGTGATCTACGAATCTACGTAACAAATAAATAGAAGGTCTCAGTCAGTTTTCTACCTGCGCCTTGTGTATATTTAAATTGGAAAATTGTAACAGGTACCTTTACCCAATAATAAGTGACTACAAGTTGGTATGACCATGTGATGTGATAGGTATTTGGACTATACCCTGTATTTAACTGGTACAGCATATCGGACAGCTGTTGCCGATTTATTATCAATGCTGTTAGCAGCTATTATAATTATTATTGTTGTCTAAATAACCGAGAAAATTTCCGATGCTTTCCAATTTTTATTTCGTAATTGGTCGACAATATTTTTTAACGACAAAATGCCCCCGATGTTATCGCGTTCGATACATTATGCGGTATGTACTAAAGGGCGGGAGTATTTCAACAAAGATTTTCCACTGATAAAGTATTAATGAGTAAACGACAAACTTCGTGACACTCAACTCCTCCTCTTCCGTTAGTAATATTTCGATCACGGTGTGCCATAAGGGACGAGAAATTTTTGACTCACCATGGCTCACCCGAATTATTGACATGACTCGTAAAGCGTGAAATCTTCAGTAATTGTAAAAAGGCTATTTTCAAATTGATGTAGTGAAGAGAAAGTAAATTACTAAATTAATAAAAGTGAACCAAAAATATTGGCATGCATCGGTAGAAAAAGTACAAAAAGAGTGAATATGAAGATAGGAGACGAAAAAATAGATTTTCGGTATGTAGGAAGTCGGATAATTCAGGATGGAAGGAGTATAGGTATAATGCAGAAAATAACGCATGGTCGAGTCGAATTCAATAAAATAAAGTCAGTTAATTTAGAAATTCGAAA